TCCCATCTCTGCTGCTTCGCTTCCTCCCGTGTCCACTGCCTCAGCTCCGTTCCCTTCTCTGCTCCCTTCTGCAGCATTGGCTTCCTTCTATGCAGTCTTCAGTCTTCGCTCTGCGCCTGTGTATGCAAATTAACCGCCATCTTTGTTGGGTTAATTTGCATATAGCTCTGATTGGCTGGTGGTCATAGTGGAGGGATGGTCAATTTGCATGTTTCTCTTTTATTAGTGTAGATAATGAAAGGGAAATATGCAAATTGACCCTAACGGCAGAATGACCGAGAACTAGGATGTGCACTGACCATGAGGGGGCAGATGCTCAACGCAGGAGCTGCCCCCTGGTGGTCAGTGCACTTCCACAGGGGGAGTGCCACTCGAGCAGAAGCCGGCTCATGGCTGGCCAGCGCAGTGGCAGTGGCAGGAGCCTCTCTCGCCTCCACGGCAGCGCTAAGGATGTCTGACTAAAGGGCCTAAGCCATTAGTTGGACATCCCCTGAGGGCTCCCGGGCTGCCATTGGGATGTCTAACTGCCAACTTAGGCCTGATCCCTTGGTGGCCAAAAGTTTGGCCACCTGTCTCTAAGAGGCAGGTGAACATCCCCTGAGGGGTCCCGGACTGCAAGAGGGTGCAGGCCGGGCTGAGAGACACTCCCCACCCCAGTGCACAGATTTTTGTGCACCGGGCCTCTAGTTTTTAATAAAATACATTAAAACAGTCTTTTTGGCCATTTCACAAAACACTTTGAGATTACCAGGGAAGCCTGATATGTTAGAGATTCCCAAATCTGAAAGGATTTATAAAGGACATCTAACCCCCCACCTGATGTGTGGATTGCCTATATAGCAACCTCATCAATCACCCAGCTTCTGTGTGCACACTTCTGAAGAACAGGAACTTACTACCTCTCCTAGCAGCTGTGAGTTTAGAAATTTCCTTCTGCTCCTGAACCAAAACTGTCTTTGATTAGTTCTGAATCCAGAAAAACACATCTGTTCCCTCTCCCCAGGAAAGCCCTTCCTCTGAAAACAGTTAACTTTCTCCCCCTGAGGCCTCTCAAGCTGCACAAACCCCAGGTCACTGTCTGTTCCTCCTGGGATCAAGTTGTTCAGCCTCCTGAAACCAGCCCACCTGCAGAGCTGCCCAGAGCTGCCTTTGCTCCCCTGTACCGAGGCTTCCTCTTGCTCCTTGTGAGCCACTGTTGCCTGGCACAGCCACTGCTTTCCTGAAGGGTAAGGACTGATGCAGCCTGGAGACCTGGTGGCCAAACTACTCCCTTCTCTACACGTTTGTTCCTTGCAGCATATAAACGTGTGTCACGTCACCAACTTTCTGATGTTAAAACAGACTTCTTCTATATCAGGTTCTCCGCTGGCTATCTTTTCAACTCAAAAAAAATTTTTTTTAACTCAGTCTTTTCTCTTCCGCCTTTGTCCAACTGATTGGATGAGGCTCATCCACATAATGGAGAGCAACCTGTTTTACTCAAAACCTACTGGTTTAAATGTTAATCACATCTATGAAATCCTTCCACAGCAACACCTAGGCTGGTGTTAGAACAAATAACTGGGCACCATGACCTAGTCAACTGGACACATAAAATTAACCATCACAATGAATCAACTTCCTCCCTGTGAGCTTCAGCTTCCTCGTCTATAAAACAAAGAGCTGTGATCATGTCCTAGGATTCTATAAAGAACTTGAACCTCTCAGAAACATTAACACTGCTCCCTTCCTGTCAAAACATTTTCACTTCTAGGTTATATTATACACTCTCCTGGTTTTATCTTCGACTTCAACATCCACTCCTCTTTTGTTTTATCTTAACTGTGGGAAGGCTCCAAGCCCAGTCTCAGGCCTTCTTGTCTATCTACACTCTCCCTAGGTGATTTCATGCAGTCATGGGCACGAAATATCTTGAACCCCAACTTCATTTATATCTTCACTCCTGACCACTCTCCTGAGCTCCAGACTCATATACTAATTGCCTATAAGCATCTCAAACTTGTCTAAAACAGAACCTTTGATTTCCCCACACACCTCTGTTCTTTACCTGTATTTTCTCATCTTAGTAAATGACATCATTATCCACTCAGTTGCTCAGGCAAAACCCTAGGAAGCAGTTGTCTTTGATTTGACTCCTTTTGTTCCTTAACACCATGACACCAAATGTCAACATGACCTTTCAGTTCAACCTCCAAAATAGTCCCTAATCCAACCTCTTCTCATTGTCACTACCATCACTTCAGTCCTACTGCCTTCATCTCTCACCTGCACTTTAATGGTCCTGATTGGTCTCCCTGCTCCCCTCTGGCCCCGACTATGATCCATGTTCCATACATTGGGCCCAGCAAAGCAGCAAGAGTTCGCTCTTCAAAGTATAAATCAGATCACATGTGATTTATGCATAATCAGTGGCCTTCCATTCCATCGAAGTAAAATGCAAATTCCATGACTCAGAAGGTCTGAATCTGCCACTTGTCTCCTAAACGCATCTTTTGCCACTTATTCAGTCTGTACCAGCCACCTGACCTTCAGTCCTTTTTTTTTTTTTCTGTCCCTAGAATGTGCCCACAGTTTGCCATCTCCGGTTGTTTTCCTTCCCCGAGACACTCTTCACCCCAATGTTTGTATGATTAGCTCCTCATTACCATACCTCTCAACTCAAACATCATTTCCTCAGAGATGCCTTCTGTAACCCTCTAATTTAAAAATCTAAAGTAATTATCCCATCCGCCAATATCCCATTCTACTTTTTTTAAAGTACTTCTCACGTGAACTTAGCTTGTTGATTTACTGCTCTATTTACTTCTTGTCTAACTCATCCCCCACCTCCCAATATAAGCTCTTTGAAGGCAAAGACCATCTTTTCACTGCTGAATCCCTAGCACCTGGCATATGTTAAATGTTCAATACTTTTCAATGGACGCTTTCTCAAATTAATAGCTCAGTATTTTTTTAATAAATGTATGAGAAAACTTGGCCCAGTGTCAGAATCTTCTGTAATTCTAACAAACTAAAAGATTCTGAATATAGGTGGGGGTCCAGGAATTTTCATTTTAACAAATACCCAGGAGACTGGGCAGAGGTCCATAGACTACACTTTTGAGAAACACTGATTTATTCATTCTTACAAGCATTATGCAGGTAGGTGGCAGAGTTTCAAAGAGGTAAATTGAGGATTAAGAGAATTGAGTCACTTGCCCAAAGTCCATAAATCAGCAAGTGAATTCTAATAAGAAATTATAATTTAGAAATAGCTTAATCCTCACATGTAAGTTAAACACACACACACACACACACACACACACACACACACACTTTTCCATCTATTTTATGCCAGTCATAAATTCTTGACCTTCATCTCATTCATTAAAACAAAGCCTAGACTTTTATAACTCCATCTGAATGACTACAATAAATTGTTTAGATCAAACAAGAAATATTTCAAGGAATCACCAGCAGAGAAAATGAGATCCTTGAAAGAAAAGGATTAAAGAAAATGAAACCTTAGCTCTAAAAGTAAACTGTTTATAAAAGAAGTAATCAGAAATTGCTTTGAAGGAAGATTTGCCTTCCAAAATGATCTGAACAGGTGGAATGTTTGAGAAGTAATTCCAGATGCCACTTGCTGGTATAGCACTGCAACACCACAGTGCGGGTGGTGGGAGTGGGACGTGGTCAAATTAGAGTCAAGTTTGCATAACAACTTATGCTAAGTTTGGCAAGGCTGTTTATTTGCACTAGGAAGTTGGCAAGGTGGGCTGCTGTCCACCAAATGACACTTTAAAACCCAACTTTACTTCTATAAAGAAAACAATCTACACTGCTTTTCACTTTATAACTTTCACAAATCAGAGCTTTTGATATGATCCTAGGCAACAGGCTAGCACCCTGCCTAACTCTGAATAGAAAATACATACCAGGTCCAAGATCTACCTTTATTAAAATCCCTGTTAAACTCTAAAGCATTTCCAAATGTCAAATCTGTCACAAAATTGGCTGGGCCAATTTTCTTAATTCCTTTAAGGTATTCTCATTCCCTTCCTTTTACTTGCCAGGCCTTACTCTAAGCTAGCTTTTAGGAATGGAATACGATCTACAGCAGCACTGTCCAGTGGAAATATAATGCAAATCACGAATGCAAGCCATGTTACGTTTTGTAGTAGCCACATTAGAAAACCAGGTGAACATTTTTAATCCCCAAATTACCATTTTAACATGGAATCAATACTTAAACGTGCAGATATCTTTCATTCATTCTTTTGTACTTCAATGCCTGATACTCGGTGTGTATTTTACTGCACATCTCAATTTGGTCTAGCCACATTTCAAGTATTCAATGGCCATGTGACTAGGGGCTACCGTATAGACAGAGGACTCTAGAGACTTGCTACTCAAAGTGCAGTCCACAAATTAGAAGCAGTGGCATCATCCGGAAACTTTTTCCAAATGCTGAACCTCACGTCCCACTCTGGACCTACTGAATCAGAATTTGCATTCTAACAAGACCCCTAGGTGACTGCATGCGCAATAAAGCTTGAGAAGCACTGGTCCAAGGCAGGTCATTGGTCTCAGGTTCCTCATCTGTCACACAGAGGTGATAATACTTTGGAGAACTGCTGTGAAGATTTCTGGTGCTTTACTTCACAGACATAATGGCTGGGATTTTAATAAATGGTAACTGTTATTTAAGAGGCACTGTCACAGAGTGGGCTTTGGAGTTGGACAGAAAGGAATATAGATTCTGGTTCTGTCACTTATAAGCTCTGTGACCTTGAACAACTCGCTTAACTTGAGGCTGAGTTTTCTTAACTCTGAATTGGAGCTAATACCTTTTTTCCATGGGACATTCAATATGGTGGATATATATATATATATATTATTGGCTGGGCCACATTGGGGTGGCAACAAATCAAGCTAAGCTGCCTTGTTATTTCAGATGGCCTTTCATCCCAAACCAGTATTATTTCCTGTGGCTCCAGTCCATATTTCATAAGCAGAACTTAAGGAGAGCAAAAACGTTTATTTGAAAAAATTACTATGTATTGAAAATATACATTAGAAATTATTACATACTTCCATAGCATTCCCCTCCCCTACCACAAAAGTAGAAATATCTGCTTGCTATGCTAATGTCATAGGTAAATTCAAACAAAGAGGAAAACATTAGCCCCTTTCCTCATACATTAGAGATGGGGCGGGGGGAGGTCAACTTTTATCTGCCAATCAATAGGAGTTTAACAAGTCCCAGTCTTCCACAGAAAGGCACACATATTTCTGCTTTGAAGACTGTGAAGAGTTACTCTGTTCCTTTTCTGGCTCCTCAAAACCTCTCTTCTTGCTCTTCTTTGACTCCTGGCTTGAGACAGCTTCGAGTTTCAACAATGGCCCATGGCAGTCTGGGGCTTTCTCTCTATAGAACTGGAGTTTCTCAGAAGAGTTCATGTGCGTGTCTGCCAGGGGACATTTCCCTGGGGTTTCTGTTTGAGCCCGCTTCCCATCTGTAAGAGCGACAAAAGGAAGGGTGATGAGTTTACTGTGCTGGCATGCTAAGGCCTGCCTAGGTCTAGAAAGATGATCCAAAGAAAACAACATAGGTCCAAACAGGGAGATGTTTGCATTAATTTTATTCCCTTTTGAGTGCCCTATAAAGTAACAGTGGTATATGCACTAACACAGGTTGAAGGCGTGCACACTGCCACTTCCTGGATAGGAGACCTTGGGCAAGTGACTTGAGGAACAGTTTTCTCATCTTTGTAGGGATATAAAACCTATTTCATAAGGGTGATATAAAGATAAATGAAGTAATGTACATAGAGTGCTCAGCACAAGGCGTGGCACACAGTAAAAGCTAAAAAATATTAGCTATTATTATTAAAAATCAGGACTTGACTGTCTTCCAAGAGCCAAATTTATGGCACAACTCTAGCAAACGATATGACATTATATATTTCTTTTTTGGCATATTCTAGCTTCTTGTTTTCTTTCCTTTATTTTCCCTTCACTTCGATATTATCACTTAGCCTCATTTTTAAAAGTTATGGTAAAATATACATAAATTCACCATTTTAACCATTTTTAAGTTTACAGTATGTGGCATTAAGTGCATTCACAATGCTGTGCTACCACAACCACCATCTAACACTAAACATTTTGCAAAACTGAAACTCCATACCTATTTAAACAGTAACTCCCTAATACCCCTCTCCAGTCCCTGACAACCACTCTTCCACTCTGTCTCTATGAACTTGACTATTCTAAAAGCCTCATATAGAAAGAATCACACAATATTTGTCTTTTTCTGATTGGCTTATTTCACTTACCATAATGTCTTCATGTTATAGCATGTGTTAAAATTTCCTTCTCTTTTAAGGCTTATTATAATATTCCACTGTATGTAAATAATACATTTTGTTTATCCATTAGTCTACTGATGAACACTTGAGTTGCTTCTACCTTTTGGCTACACTTAATTCCTTTTGAATCTCTGTAATCTATCTATGCAAATCATTTTTGGAACAAGATGGGACATAAAGACATACATACATTTAATAAGCTATTTTCCTTGTACTGGGGTTCAAAGTGTACTCTAAACCAGCGGTTGCCAACCTTTTGGACTCACGGACCACCAGTGGTCCACGGACCACTGTTGGCGTCTGCTGCTCTAAACTATTTGAGAATACAAGTCTTGGTGATCTAATTAAGTTGGCACTATCACAATTAATTTTCCCATTGTGTGAAAACAGGTTAACTGCTTTAAGGGTGCAAAAAACCTAAGGGCGAAAAGGGAATTCCAAAGAAAAGGGAATCTCTCACAGAAGTGCTGAGCTGCCTTTCGAGGTTCCAAGGCATCTCGTGGCTTCACAGCTTCCGAAGTCACACGCTCCCACTGCAGAACAATCTAAAATGCATTTGGAAAGATTTGAATCTGAACAAAATCTCAAGCGTTTAATCTCAAACCTTCCTTGTTCCCCTTTGTTCCCTTTCCATAAACACAAACTCCTGCGGTAATCTTACTTCAGATGATTGGTGATAAGAATAAGAATCAAGTCAAGCCTGGATTTTCTGTTTTAATGCAAGAGCCAGTCAGAATACAAACCTGTTAGATATGTGTATTTGCATGACTCGGGAAAAATCCACAATGCTTATTCCCTCTTTTCATCTCTATTCCAAGCTAGAAATAAATTGCATATCCTTAAACTAAATACTAAAATTTGAAACCTTAGTCATTACTATTCACACATTTCTAGTCTCACCCTCATGCCTTAAAATACATCAGTATAACTCAAAACTCTTGTGTGTATAATGCCCACATTTCCATATTCTCAAGACACTTCATGATCAGCTGCCATTTTTAAAACCATTACAAATGTATTTTTATTATAAGCTACTACAAATTCTTTTGGAAATCTGGCCAGGTATAAACTTTATATAAATAAACGATTATTTCACATATACCATGAGTAACAAGAACTAAACTTAATACTTTTCATGGTATGCAATGAAATGATCATAAAGAAAAACATTTTCAGGACACAGAGGCAGTATGACACAGTTTAAGAATATAATTCCAGAGTTAGCACTACTACTTACTAGCCAGGGGACCCTTGGGCAAGTGATTTAATTTCTGATCTCAATTTCTTCATCTGTTAAATGAGATAACATACATGAAGGGTCTGGCACACAAAAAGCACTCAATAAATATCAGTTGTCAACCCTTCTGTGATACTTCCCTGATTATGGGAAATGTGGACCGTTCTAAGAGAATGCCAAGATGGATGGGCTGAATCTGGTGACTCAGTGGGCAACTGGGAAAACAGCACTTTCACTAAGAAATAAGCATGTCAATAAGATGAGTTTGGGGACAGGGAAGAAGAAAATGAGTCAGGTTCTGGACAAGCTGGATTTGAGGTGCCAGGTAGAGATTTATGGATGATATGTAGAAATGGGTCAAGTGTGTGAGAGAAGGTGGAATCATCCCCACGGGACAGTTATGATCACCAGGAGAGTGAGTGGAGGTATCTGAGAAGAGAAGAGGTATCGGCAAGAGCTAGAGGCAGAAATGAAAAAGTTAGGGGAGAGCTAGGAGAAAGGTCATGAGAGAAAAAGCTAAGAGGAAAGCTAAGGCAGGTGAAAATGAACTCATATGCTACCTTTAAGAGAACAGTAGAGGACGGAGGCCAGACCTAGATCACAAAGGATTAAGAACTGAGGAGACAGAGAGGAGGTGGGAGAGAGAACAGAAAACAATCCACAGTTCTGTTGGGGGATGAGGAACATATTAGAGTAAGAGTAGCTCAAGTATGTTTATACACAGAAAGAAAACAGCCAACACAGGGTGAGACTGAAGATGCAGTGGTGGGGCAGTAGAGGGAAATAATTATTAGTAAAATATCACAGAGGAAGCTGGTGATTGTAAGGAACAGAACTGAAAGATAGAAAGGAAAAACGAAAGGCTTATCAGTGGAATAGAAGTGGCATCCTTATTCCCCTTAGATAGGAGGAAAGTAGAATATGGTTGAAGAAATGGAGAAAATTTAAGGCAGAGATAGGGAAGGAAGGGGACTCCTGTCAGATAGCCTCATTTTTTTCCGTGTCACCTGCTGAGAATGAAGCAGGAGCAGCCAGAGTCGGCCTGAAACACTTTTAATAAGGGATCAACAAGAGACAGACAAAGCTCTGCAGCCAAGCTGCAGGGGCCAGGCTGAGGTTGCATGGCATGAAGCCGCAGAGTCCAATTTGCTTACTTCCAGGCCAGGCTGCCAGGCTGCTACTTTATTTTACTTCACCCTTACCAAGCTCTGCAAGAGAGGTCCTGGTTTCTGCATTTTACAGATGAAGAAACAGAGACTCAAAGTTGCCTTGTCATATCGCTACTGGCTTGTCAAGCTAGGACCCCAAATCCAGGTATCTTTGACTCCATAGCTTATGCTCTTTCCACCATAACAACCTGCTACCAAACCATCTCAAGCCTTTACATGACCATCCCACACCTACCTGCCCCACTACTGGCTATGTCTAGGATTAATCCAGTGCTAAATTGTGTTTGGCAATGCACTATGATAATTATTTCAGCATGCATTTTCTGGACCAACTTCAAAGTGCTTCTGAAATATGGACTCACCAGCACCCCCTTCCCTGTTGACCTATAGCAGCAGTTCTCAACCTGTGGGTTGCGACCCTTTTGGCGGTCAAACGACCCTTTCACAGGGGTCGCCTAAGACCATCCTGCATATCAGATATTTACATTACGATTCATAACAGTAGCAACATTACAGTTATGAAGTAGCAATGAAAATAATTTTATGGTTGGGTCACAACATGAGGAACTGTATTTAAAGGGCCAGAAGGTTGAGAACCACTTACCTATAGGGAGGTGATACTACAATCAGACAGTTGGGATAGGTCCACCATCATGAGTTATAGTTTGAGCCAAGGAGGAATCTAGAACAAAACAGTTTGGGGAGCCCCCTAGGCCTCCACACCAAGTAACATTGGTTTAAAGTGTTTGAAGGAGAAAGGCACCAACCACAGGCAGGCAGGCATCTACTGGTGCTGTGTACCTGGTTACCTCTGACTTCCTACGTAAGCCTGTACTTGACCAAGTTGGGGGAGACCATCAAGAAGACAAGACTGAGTCAAAGTAAAGTTCAAGCAAGAAGATAAAAACAGGAACAGTCAGTGAGAGGAGGACAAAAAAGACCGTTCCTCACTAAGGCTCTGAAATGTAAGAAATGTGCCCCAAAGAGGAGGAGTCAGGTTTGAATCGTTCTTAGTGTGATTTACTCTCTTTCTAGACTACTAAGAGAATCTGTTCTTCTGAAGCTGGGTCATACTGCTTTTTTCATTAGCAGGGCAGAATTCACTTATTTTCGGAATCTTTGTAAGATGACATTTTCTCCTAGGTCCAATAAGGATAAGGCACAATCTAGTGACTAGAGCATGAGATTTAAGGACACATCTAATACCTTTCCTTAAGTAGCTGGGTCAGTTATAGGCCAGTAGTATCTCTGATTTGACATAAAGATGACAATTCAGCCAAGAAATACCAAAGGATTAATGTTTGTTCAAAGTGTTGAATAAGACACTTAGAATTAAAATAAAAAAGCCATATTAATTGTGTGTGCGGGGAGGGGGGGTGAGGGGTATACAGTACCTGGTCAGCCCAGCCCTCGGTCTTGCAGTTACTGTGATCAAATTCCTTCAGAGGCACTTTAGAGTGGACAAGGCCTATGTGGGTCTGGAGCTTGTGCTTCAGCTTTGAT